GGGTTTTATATGCAAACGTCATGTACAAAATTTCAGAACTGTATCTCAAGTGGTCGTTTTTTGAAATATCAAATATTGTAGGCTGAAACATGGAAAATGACAACTTTTGGTAAACGGAGGTTTTCCGGCAGATTCTTGGATTCTAGGATTTGTAAGCAATTTTATAAAAAGCTATATGTGTAAGTAGCAAAAAACCTAATTTTTCTATATCAAATGCATGTTATTTGGGTTTAACACTAAATGCTAACTTATTTGATATAGGAAAATTCGGTTTTTGTTATTTACACAAAAACTAAAAGAGATACGAAGTAAGTCTAAATTACAAAAAAAGTTGTTAAGAATTAAAACACCTATAAAATGATGTGCCACTTGACATTTTATGTTGCTATTTGAAAATTTTAAACAATGGACATTTGCACATTTTCATTAATCAGTTTTTTTTTATTTGTATTATTTAAAAATACTGTTACTTGTAGCATATCACAGTAAAGCTAATTTCATAACGAGTGGAAAATTAAACCAGAGAAGGGCTAGGAGCATTGGAAACATGCTCCTACCGACTACCGACATATTTTCACTTGGTTATGACGGATGTAGTTTTTTCAGCCGCCATCTTGGATCCGCCATTTTGAAATGTGATCAATTAATTTAAATATGAAGGTGGTGTTGTGACCCATCATTTTGAACTACTTTTTTATACTGGACTCAATGCTGCAATCCGTTTTTGGTTATCAAGCTGTCTTGATGAAATATTAAAATAGTCTTATTTAAAATTTCAATATTTCAAAAACCAAAGATGCAAATGAAAAACGGATTGCGGCATTGAGTTCAGCATAAAAAGGTAGCTCAAAATGATGGGTCACAACACCACCTTCATATTTAAATTAATTGATCACATTTCAAAATGGCGGATCCAAGATGGCGGCTGAAAAAACTACATCCGTCATAACCAAGTGAAAATATGTTGGCAATGAATGGTGGTGTATACTTATCTTTATCTAGCACTATTTTGAGATTATGGTCTTAGTTTGTAAATGCACAATGTTAAAATGCGCTAAAAATAAAGTTATAAAAAGTCCTCATAACTTTAGAACAGATCAAGATTTTTTAAAAACTAATTGCGGCATTGTAATCAGCGTAAAATTCTAGTTTGAAATAATGGGTCACAACCCTACCTTTACATTAGAAAAAAAAACTTTGTATCCAATATGGCGGATTCAAGATGGCGGCCAAAAATGTATACCCAGTCAAAATGAAGTACTTACTACTCAACAATGATCTGACGTGGTCCGGAGATGATATCTTAAGAAATGTAGAAAAAAGTAGGGGGGGAACTCATTTAAAATTCACCCTGTATAATTTACAAACAAAATATTTAAACAAATTATGATTTTTCACTATTTTGAGTAGCGACTCCCCTAACTATGTTTGCTGTGGATACTGTGCTTGAATAATTATTACATGCTGTCACAGTGCATAAATACCCATGAGCCATGACTATTTAAATGTGCAACTACTTATTAATTGTTTGATTAAAGAGGTTAAAAATGATTTTGTTATTAACACCTAGTAGATAGGCCTAATATTGGCTTAGTGAGAACTTGGGTTTGCTACTCGTTTAAACCTAATGTTTTTGAAACCAAGAAAGAATCCGACTTATTTAAGAAAATATTTACCAGTCAGGCAATAGTAATATTTCTTCGGGTTTCCAGGCAGCCTCAATATATATTATTGGGTATATTCCCCCCCCCCCCCCCCCGGGAATTCAATGCATATTCATTAATAAGCAATCTCAATCCTGCATTAAAAGGAGGCATTTGGGAGACAACATTTATTATTAGCAACCAGTAAATTTTTTACAAAAAAAAAATTACATACTAAGTTGTTTGCCCCTTTGACTGATTTGAATAGTGAACAAATTTTGGCACAAGGTTACAAATCTACGGTCTTGTAGTTACAGGATAGGTATGACATGTTTTATTTGAGAGCATTAATAAAGTAATAATAAGCAACCATATCAACAAAAACACAAATACACAACACAAATTTAGATACTATTTGTTTTGATTATTTGAGTAGTTAGTATAAATTGAAAATGTTAGAATAACTGAACTTAAAACTTCTCGCAACATAAAAAATTTCCACATAATACCTTTGACAAAGTGAAAAGGGGAAATATGTTGTTGAAAAGTATTTATATTTCTCACAAACACAGATTGATGCAAATGTAATAACCAAGTCTTGTATGAGTCAAAGGTTGTGAACCATTTTCTCCACTCCTACAACTGGTCTTGGCACACCATCACAAGATTAATAAGCACAATAATGCTTTTAAAAGATAAGCTTATGTGAACTAATACTGAAGTTCAGGCGTGATTGATAAAATACGGTATCTAGAAAAAAAACTTATTTTACCACTCAACGAATGAATACTAAACTGATATTTTTGTCAATTACATGAAAACGAAGTATCAAGATTTTTTAACATTAGCCTAACCTAAAGGTATCTATATTCTGTGACTATACTCAAGAATACAAGCAGAAATTTAAAAAGTCACTTTCACAATAAACTAGGTTAGTTTTCAAGGAATATTTTAACACAACATTGTACAACCAACATTAACAACATAGTAATACGTGTATTGTGTTTCCTTGCTCATGTATAATATAACTTCTGTAGGAGAGTTTAATAAAAGGGGTTCTTTTTTAATATTTAATAATTGTTCATGTCTTAATGGCAGTTAAGTAAAGATTGTATTAGTTAGGTAATGTTTAGTAATGTTGTATGAGAGAGATAAAAAGCTTTCCCCACTAATCTTTCTCTACTCTAAATAACTGTACATATGAATTAGATCCAACAGCAATTGTTTCAAGAACGCTGTATAAAACAACAAATGTAATGGTGGAGGAAAGGGTTTTAATGTGCATGTTAAGTGCTCACCCCACTCGCCACTCTAAATGATTCCATACATAGTAATCATTAAAGGGATACTGTTACAGTCCAGTTTCAGCTGTCGAGTGCTGAAGTCTCCAAGGTGCTGAGGGAAACAAACCCCCACATCAGCACAGCACATCGGCTATGCTAAATAATGGAGCTCGCGACATTAGAGAGAATAACAAATGTGGTTCCAGGTGCGGCGAGACCTGAATCATACTTGCCGAATCTCTCATATACTTGTCAAATCTGAATCTTAATGTGAAATGTACTTAGGCTACTATTTGGCTTATAGTAATAAGGATAGTCTATACGATTTATAAATACTAATTACTATTAACTTATTTATTTATACTTTGTTCGCAATATTTAGGGGGGTTTAGGGGAAGAAAGCTATCCCCTCCACTTGACCCTTACCTTTAAAATAATAGCTCAAACTCTGATCAAGCAACATACATTAAATAAAAATACCCCCGCCGCAGCAAACCTGCACACTAAGCAAATTTCCATTTACCTAGTGGGATTTCTACTAAAATATTCCCTAAAAATTTTCAGTTTTATTTCCTATTTAAATAACATTAATTTTAGTGAGTACTTAAGTTTGCTGCTATAGGGTAGGGAACATATTGAGGTGTGTTTTTTTTATTGCAATGTTGATAGCTTAGAATTAAATAAACAACATTTCCAAATTTGGTTAAAATATATCCATGAACAAGCCAGGTAGGGGTCGCCGGAAGACTGCCCCCCGTACAACTCTACCAATTAAACTCACACAATTTAACAACAAAGTAACAACTCTACCCCAAGCAGGTTCCTACGTCATGTTAACGTCAGAGATCGAGGTGGCAGTTTTCCAGTCACGGACACTCAAGTTTCGTTGCCATGCTTTTCTAAACTAATCTAACCTACCTAACCAACCAAACTTGCTGTAGCATTTCAAAATTCTGTATGATATTCACCATATGCCTTTTCTGTTATGAAACGGAATTGCTCGAATTAAATTACAATTACATAGCATTACATTTTGCTAGGGGGTAGTATTCCAGACACGGCTACTATATTGGTTAGTTTGCAGATTTCGTGACGTCACGTTTCACCTGGGGGGTGGTTTTCCGGGGGGTAGTATTCCGCATCCCCCTAACTACAACAGTTCATTTAAAAAATAACATGAGAATTTTAAATTTACCATTTTTTTAATTATCTCCGTAACTGTAGTGCACAACTCGTTGTAACAACTCTTTAATATACAAAATTATTTCTCTTAGCTTCACCGCAACATGTATATTACTATTCGCGTGCCCTCTCCTTATTTAATCCTACTAGGGTATAGAGCCAATTATACACTTGCCTATTTCCCCCTACAATAGTTTATAGCCTTTTTCCAGGTGCATATTACAATTTACTAGGCTACTTAAAAACTGACATAAAAATAGGATAAAGTCATTAGAATAAATCTGTTATTAAAGTAAGATTCACCCCTAAAATTAATAGAAAATTATAAACTTGTATAACATATTACGGTAATTAATTAGTTAATTTTGTTTTTAATAGGCTTATTGATAAAATGGACTTTACAAGAACAAGCTTATACTTTTTATTGAAAAACACCAACCTATTTCCCAACCATATTAGACCTTGCACTAGGTAAGGCAAAGTTTTAAAGTTCTTATTAGTATTAATGGACCAAGCTTTGCCTCACTGTGTGTTTGTACTGATGTTAAGCTATACGACTGTCACAAACTTTTAAATCCATTTAATCTGGGGAGAAAACATATAACTTATTACCCAATAAACTTGGTCCCGTGTCACTGTCAAACATTCTCCAGCCTCAAAACCATAAAGTCACACTGCAGATATAACAGAGCTATCTATGAGTACCAAGACAACTAGCTCAGCATTTACAACAATAGCATGGCATAATACAAAATAACATCGAGTATAGTTTTATTTAACTAGCCTATATTTCATAGGAAAGGGCAATAAATGTATCAACCGGTGAACAAATAAAATTGTTAACTGATAAGTTATTTTAAAACCCCAAATCTAAGCACAAATAAATACTCACCAAGAGCAGCTAGTTGACTGGCGCAGGCCAGAAGTAGAAGCAGAACTCCTGAAACACAAATGTACTTATGATTTCGATTTGTGAATTCTAATTGTTTATACATAAAATTAAATCTATATAGAACTATAGTTTTAAACTTTACACTTAGACCTAGGCAAACAATATGCAAGAACCTGACAGATTTATTGAATTGTGAGATTTTTATTGTAAACATTTGTTACTGAAACTTAAGTTTGCCTGAATTAGATATAGTAAAATTTAATATTTTATCAGAGATTTTTTTTAAATGTAAACATCCTCTTCATTATTCCTATTAGTAGCTGAATAACTTCTGCTAAAAGATAAAATGTTATGGGTATTAGACAATTATCCTTGTTGGTTTGAGTTTTAAAATTAAAATGGACACAGTGTAAAAAAGTGGAATGTGAACATGAATAGGGCAAAGTTTAGTAAAGAAAATTGACAAAAGAATGGCCTAATGAATACAAATAAATGAACCTAGTAGTAGAAGATGGTATCTTCAACTGGAACCTGACCAAATGTCTGGCTGATATTGTAAACCAAGATTCAGCAGCATATAAAGACAATGTCAGCAGAAGTTTTCACTTTCTTGAAAACTGATGATGAAAAAAGTTCAAATCAATAAGAAGAATATCTTATCTGCATTTATTCAATCTTGACGGGTGTTAATTAAAAGATTTTGGTTTACCTAATCTTTCCTCAAGGTAACTATTCGTGAATATAATTATAGTCAATATTAGTTTTGCTATAACCGCCCTAGATAAGTAATAATGGTAAGTAATAATTGGTAATTTTACTAACAAAATACAACTAAATATCAATGAGTTTACTGCAAAAATCTGTTATAGATCCAGCTTTTGCGCTTTCATTATATCTTAAACAAATGTTTTCTTTGAAATTCACTAAGATTAACCATTATGTAGGTCCTACTAATAAATAATAACACTTTGTTCATATAACTTGCCAAGGGAAAATGATTTACAGTTAAAACCCATAATACAGCATTCAGTTTACGGTACTTATTACTCATAATATATTATCATATATATAATATGAGTAAAGTTTGAATACTTGTTCTTGTTACTTGGATCTGGGAATCAGCACATAAAACACGTACCTTGGTCCGTCAGCTCACCTAGGTACGTAACCTATTATATATCACTTACGGTATAACTAAGTTTCTGTGGCAAAAATAAGTTCTAGGTCAGTGGTATAACCAGGAAAAATCTATTTCCGCCATAATATGAGTAAAAACTTTTGAAAATGTAACATAGGCCTTATGGGATGCCATTCCGCCATTATTTTTATTTGTTTACTTTTTAAGACTTACAATTTTGTAGTGTACTTGAGACAAAGAGAAAGAAAACGACTTTACTCCTGTTCGTTCATAATGAGTGTGTATGTATGTATGTATGATTGTTATAAGCTTAGGACTAGGCCTACATACATAGATACCAAAGAAACTCCAAACCCAATTAACTTATAGCCTAACCTACCATCTGCCAGGATCAATAAAATAGAGCAAATTGATCAAGGACAAGCAAAACTTGGTTTTATAACTTTTAAAAAGGTTTCCTTAATGGTAGCTACCAATAATTTGATAAGTTGAGGATCAACCCGGCAAACGTTAGCCCCTTAGTTGAGCTAGACCTATTCCAGACCTAAGTCACACCGAGCTCGCTCCCGCGGCGGGAGCGAATTTTGAAAAATCGCTCACCATGTTAACAAATGTGCCAAGTCACACCGCACTACAGCGTCCGCCTGCTGAGCGATTTTTTGAGACTACCGCGGCGGGAGTTTTTTCTAGCGCATGCGCAAATGGGCATTTCGAATGCCCAAGCTATTTAAAGTTTAAAAGTTATACAGTTTAATACAGTTTTAAATTAAATTTAACATGTTTCTTTTGTTTGATGATGTAGTCTATGTTGTTTTGTATTATCTTCGTAATTATGTTTATCACCAGAAAAAAATCATTTTTGTTTATCATGCAAAATTAATGTTACCGTAACGGTGAAAATTTTGTGTTTCCCATAAAAATTTTTATATTGCTGACGTAAACAATTTTTTTTTATTGTTTAATCAACTTTTTTGATTTGCAACAACCAAAACTTTACAATCAATGTAAACTTGAACTTTCAATAGAAGCAAAAAATTACATTAGTTTTAAAATGTTCATATGTTTTTATTTTAAAAGTAAATAGTCTTTGTTGTGTAGCGAAAAATAACGTTTAAAAGCTGAAAGTTAATAATATATCCACAACCATATTTAAAACGCTTAGAACACAAGGTAATTTAAAAATTAAATTTAAAAATTAAATTTAAAAAAAATAGTTATTCACTTTTTAAAGTAGCTCTACACTAACAAATTAATAATCATTCAATTGATTCTTAAACACTTTACTTAAAACCTGCAAATTTACATGACATACTAAACAGGAAAGATGATAATTGTAATGAACTCATCTCAAAACTCCCGCCGCGGACGCGAACTTTTGGTGTGACATGGCTCGAGGAAAAACATCCGCGCGCGGTACTCCCGCGGCGGGAGCGGCGGATGTCGGTGTGACATGGCCTTAAGAGGAGGCTAAGCCTATACGGTATAGGCACTGCGTCTTGCTATGTAAAATTGTAATGATATATGATATAGATAGGATATACTAAGTTTTCAAACTGAGCTAAGTTTAGCAAATTAATATGACATAGGTGGAAGCACAGTTTTAAAATGTCGGCGTAACAGTGTGTCACCTTTCGACAAATGTCAAAGTTTTATTTTGCTCTGGAGGCTATCTATACGTTTATCTTTAAGCATTATAGCTTATAATATCTGTACTCAAGAGCGTGATGATTTTAAAGGGATTTTTCTCCTAAACAACCTACATTTTAGTGTTTAAATATGTAGCCTAATACAACCAAACCAAGTCAAAACAAAAACTGCTAACATACTTAAAGTTATCTTTACAGCTTGCCAAAAGGTCATAAAAAATGTTTCATTAAAAAAGGTTTTAATAAAAGTAGCTAATCTATAATTAATGGGAAAAGTTCAATATAACCCACCCTTATAAAAATTTTATTATAATGTGTCTGCTTACTGTATTCTTTACGCTAAATCCAAATATGCAATAGTTTTCTGCCGGAATAAGTCCACTGTTTCCAGAAAATGGTATTCAATTTAGGCAAACTAAATGAGTGGTACCGGTTGTAGTTTCGGAGCGAGCCCAACCAAGTTCTTGCGGTGACAACGTTTCATAGGCTATTGATAACATTTAAATGAATGTCTAAGTGAACATAATTATCATTAAATGCTCTTCCACTGTCAAAACCAAAATCAGTAAAACTCGCATATTTTATTTACTTATAAATCAGATATAACATGCTCCCTAAAGCAAACTAAATGCTTTAACACAAATAATTTAAGTGATTAAAATACTATTTTGTGAGACTTAAGTTATAACATAATCTTCATACATTGTTGTTGTTTTCTTGAGAAATAAATCATTACAATGTAAAAGAAGCTAAACTTCAAAATGCAAGTTCTGATTTCGAAATATGAGCACGACGAATTGTTTAACGCAACACATAAAAGTTCTTTGCTCCTTCATTCCTCTTACAAACATCTGTCGCCAGTGCAGCGTGCAAGAGATAAATTCAGATTATAACAAATGGCAGCAAGTAAAGCTGTGTTTCACACGTTCCCAACAGATTTCGACTTTCTGAATATGAATTGAAAACGTTAATGGTAAAATTCATTTTTCATTCATTTCATTCATTTTTACACTTGACGAGTATTAAAACAAATATATGCACTCGCGGTACACCAATAATGTATCAAAAACAATTTCTAAACATATTTGTGTACAAATCATATTATTAGCAAATTTCCTATATAAGCTAATACATTGGCAGAAACCCCTCCTATCTTTTAAGACCACAACCACTAAAACATTAAGACTAACAAACTAAAAAACAAACTCAACCAATTATAATTTTTAATTAATTTATCATTTTAGGAGAGTATTTAGATCCACTAAAACTTGGATCGATTTTATGCTCACTAATACATAAAGTTAGGTGAAGAAATAACTTCACATTTGCAATATAACAAGTGCTTTAGACGTAAGCAAAGTGACAGAAACAAGCAGAGCGCGGCGTGTGGTGTAGTAAGGTGTTTGAGGCGATTGAAGTTCGATTTGCGCTCCGAGACACCGACTAATGGAATGGGAAACAAAGGCTTTCAAAGTAAGTGTGGCAAAACACACATAAACGACGCCGTAGTAGTGGACAGATGCTAACAAGTAGTGACTGGGAACCCAACATACATAATATACTGTAAATACGTTCTCTTGGTTGCGGCATATACATGTTTTGCTAACTTAAACTTATCTTGTTTACTCTCTAGGGCTTAGTTATTTACAGTTGAATTTTTTATGTTACGGTATTGTTTGTATCCATTTAAACTAATTAAATTTAATATTAATCATTCCCAAATTAATTAGTAGAATCGTGCATTAGGCCCTATATTGTTCATATCTACAGCAATTCATTTTTATTCCAGGATTTACCGTGTAGGGAAATGAGCTCTTATCGTAGGCCTCTCGGTAAGACCAAGACCCGGGAACGATTTCGTTTTTCGTTTTAAGGCCCCTAAAGGCGAACAACAGCATGTTCAAATTCATAATGTATGTGCATTATCACGATAACTCGAGTAGATATCATCAGATTTTGATAAAATTTGGCACAAACTTGTAAATTACTATTATTTATTCGAACGAGTTCACGAACCAGCATGACCGGACAATGTGAACGGTGTTTTATTGGGAACTATATGTAGTATAAAAGGTATTTTCATCTATTGACCCCTAAAACATAGAATTTTGCTATTTCTTTCCAAACTAATTTGTAGATCTTAAAAACAAATTATCTATAAATAATATTGAAGGTTCTTGTACTACTGATGGTTAGGGATTAGTAAAGTAACCATTAGTACAAGACGGTAAATATAACCAAACATTGTGAGGTATTTGTTACAT